GAGCAGTGAGGCGCTCAAGAGGATGGAAGAACTCAGAGGTAAGACAGGAGAAGAGACAGACATTTTCTGCAAGAAAAGAGGGGCAGCAGGAGAGAAGCTGGGATAGGGCAGCATGAGCGGAGCAGGCAGAAGAGGTGGGTATCAACCAGAGCAGTGGGCTGAGGAGCACACACCACATCGGAGATTCATCTTCCTGGCCTTAGGAAAGGCTATGGCCTTTCTGGCGAGTGTGCAGTGGCCCACTCTGTGGCGCCCATTCTGGAGATGGGGTTTGGGGGCCAGGTCTGGAGCCCACCCCAGGGTCCCTGCCCCACCCCCAGCCGCGTGGGCACTCACCGAGTTGACGGCCAGATTGCCCCGGGCATTCCTTGGTGCCAGCCCATAGAGGATGCCGGCCCCGGCAATGGCGCCCACCAGCTGGGCCACCACGTAGAAGACAGCCCGGAGCAGGGAGATCTGGTTGCCCACTAGGAGGGCCAGTGTGATGGCAGGGTTGATGTGGGCACCGCTCACGGGGCCCAGGGCCTGGACCAGGGTGCCTATGGCCAGGCCAAAGGCCACGGAGATTTGCAGGACGCTGGGCAGCGCCGACGGCCACGAGAGGGCCGAGGCGAGGCCGCAGAAGACGAAGATGAGGGTAGCCAGGAACTCGGCGAACACAGCCTTGAGGAAGGCAGAGGAGAACACCTCCTTCTTCATGGTCTGGCCTTCGCGGCCGCAGCAGGGGACACCCGTCGGGGCGGCGGCGCTGGGGGCGGGGGGCTGGCACGCAGGCTCGCTGTGCTCTCCGGCGCCCACGTCGCGGCAAGCGGCCTGGCTCGAGCCCTGCGGGGGCGTGCTATATAGAGGGCGGGCGTCCTTCGGCGAGGCGGGCGGGCAGTGGGCGGCTCCCGCGCGCGGGGGCCAGCGCGGCTCGCAGAGAGGGAACTTCGCGGCCGCCCCGGGCTCGCCGCTGACCCGGACCCAGCGCGCCCCTCCGCCCGGGCAGCGGCACGTCGGCTCGGGCCACGTGACCCGGCCGGCGGTGTAGCTCGGCCCGGCGGCCTGGGACCCGCGCATGGTGCGCTCTGGGCGGCTCCCGCGCTCTCCTCTGCGCTGTCTCTGCTGGGCGCCCCGGGAGACTCGGCCGGGTCTGGACTCTCGCGTCCTACTGACCTCTGGGCGGCTGCCTCCGCTGGGCCTTTATCTCCGGCAGTGGTCTTCCCTTTTCTTCTGTTCGGGCCCTGGATCCAGCTCCTCCTTTTCCTCCTGCGACCCGGGCATCCTGACCCGACCTCACCCCCGGCAGGGCTGGAATGATGTGCTTCCCTGTGGACAGGCGCCACCTCCACTCAGCTCCCTGCCGGCCGGTGGCGGGGGCGGGTGACCGGGCAGGGCGGTGCGGGGCGGTCCGGCCGTCGTCGGCCTCTCCCGGCAGGGCACTGGCAGGCCTCCCCGCTTGGCGGCGGGGGCGTTTTGGGGAAAGTGGCCCCGTGCCAGCCTGCCCCCAGCTCGGCAGTCCTCGACGCCGGGCAGCCCCGGGCAGTCCTGGGAGGAGGCGGTGGACCCCGAGAGGCGCCCACTCCTCCGCAGCAGCCGTCCCTGCTTCTCCAGGAGAATAGCCTTCTTGGAGAATCCCAGCGAGTCCCCGAAGGAGGTTCATAGGACTGGAGGGGACATGCCGGATTCGGTTTAGTCTTGGGTCAGGGAAGAGGCCCCACGACCTGGGGGTCGGTGTGGGGCGCGGAGAGAGGGCAAGAGCACTCCGACTTCCCGTGCCGGTGTTGGTCTCTCCCGCCCTCCTGCCAGAGCCCACTCCCCTCTCTGGATCTCAGGTCTTCCTTCTCTTGCTCCTTAGTCTCCGCTTCCTTCAAATCTTCACTCAGTCTTGATTTTTTTCTCCCTTTTGAAATCTGCCTCTCCCCTCTCTCCTTCAGTCTCTTTCTCCAAACCCTGTCTGCCTCTCTTTTTCAGTCTTTTGTCTCTCTCTTCAGTCTCCCTGCCCTTCTTCCTCTCTTTCTCTCTCTCTCTCTTCCTCTCTCATTTCAGTCTCCTTCTCAGGCCTCCCCAACCCCTTTTCAATTTCTCTGTTGTTACAGCCTTAGCCTTAACTCTGTCTCAACCTCTCTATTCATCTCTCAGTTTCTATCCACTCTCTGTTTCACCTTTCCTCGTCTCAATCTCTGGGACTTTCTGTCCATCTCTCCCTCATTTTCCATGTCTGCTTCTTTTACATGTTGTCTTTTTCAGTTCCCCCAAAGCCAAGTCCTCCCACCCCCAGCCTGGGTGGCACTTTCTTCTAGTCCTGTGCCCCCTCCCCACTCTTGCCCCTTTCCTCCGATCTCCCAGCTGCTCTCCCACCCGTCCCTCTTCCCACCCCCAGGTTAGGCATGTGAGGAATGAGGCTGGAGGCCCTCTAAGGCTTGGAAGAGGAGTCAGGGAACCACTCCCAGGATCTGCACTCAGGTGGAGTGGAGCTGCTCTAAAGACCCCGCCACCATGCTGTGACATGTTTTGGGGAAGCATTTAGAGTAAAGCTCAGTAAAGTTTCTTCATGTTGTGACTGTAATTTTAAAAGCCCCCTAGGGCTCTGTATGGAGCAAAGTGAGAGGGTGCAGCAGAGGGAGAGAACAGGTGCTCCTCTGTCAGGCTGAGGGGAGGGGCCCGGAGAAAAGCCAGGGACCTGGAGGAACGGGCTCTGGGCTCCATTACAGCTAACAGCCAAAGAAAACAGAAGAAAACGGATGGAAAAAACCTCGCTATTGTTCCTGCTGGGCTCTGGGTTTCCTTGTGGAGCAACTCCACCCCCAGATCTCTCTTCTTAAGGCAGGAAGTCTGTCTGTCCTTCTGCCATGGGTCCTGAGGCCCTGCCCGTGGCAGAGCTTGGCCGCTATGTTCAGGATCTTCTTCTGAGGCTGGTGCAGACTGGTGCAGACTGGAACAATGACCCTGTTGACCCCAGAGGACCTTGGGGGCCAAGTCCCTTCTCTGCTGAACCTGCCTCCAGTCTGCACCCTTCCAACCTTCGTTTTCATCCTCTCTCTTCAGGCATTGTCATTGTGAATCTGCAGATCTCAAACTCCATCTCTTGGAGGGGGAAGGACTCAACAGTGCCACCAGGGGAAGCTCCTACTTGAGGATTTGAGCCCAGTCCTTTACCACCAGCAAAGAGCTTTGGCCTCCACTGTGTGATTAAATTTCCAGCTGCCTGTGAGGAAAACCAGACTCAGAGGTTCTACCTTGCCCAATGACCTGAGATGGGACCCACAGTTTTGTCAGTCTGATGTGGCTGAAGGAGTCCCTACCTGTTAAGGTTGCTCAGATGTGGGCAACTGGTTACATTTCCTAAGCCTGAGCTTGAGACCCTTCCACCTTTCTCTAACCGTCAGAGTCACTCTGTCCCCAGGTTGTCACAAGAGCACCTAGATGCTGAAATTATCTTTGCCTTGAGCAATGGGACCCTTCTCTATCAGCCCTAGAGGAATTCTTTCCTGGGACCCCTCTGGGCTGTGAGATGGATTGCCCCATGTGTGGCAGGGAGAGTTAGAATCACTCGTGGTGGGGGCCTTCCTCCTCTCCTGATAGTGGGCCCCCTGGATTCCCTGGAAACATTTGAGGGCTGGAGGTAGAAATGACAAGGTAATTGGCAGCAGGTGATGCTGCCAGGACTCCACTTATCCCTAGGGTTGGGGAAGAGTCACTCATTGATTCATTCTTTCCACAAAGATTTATTGAGCACTTACTATGTCCCAGGCACTGTTCTAGGCACTGGGGAGATATCCATGAGCTAGCAGACGCCTCCTTGTGGAGCTAAAATTCTAGTGAAAGGAGAGAGACAAACACTAAACAATGACATACGGAAATTATATGGTACAATAGAATCTGGTTAAGTGTTGTGGAAAAATTGAGTATGTCAAGGGGGACGGGGCATATAAGGGTAGGAGGGGAGGGTCTTTGAAATTTGAAATGGGTGTCCATGTAGGTCTTATTGAGGTGACATCTGAGCAAAGACTTGAAGAGGAGAGGGAAAGAACCATGCAGGTATGGGGTGGGGGTAAGAACATTCCAGGCAGAGGGAGCAGCCAGTGTTGTAGGAGCAGAGGGAGCAAGTGAGGACAGAGAAGTGGTGGAGGTGGGCAGACCTTGTGTATCACTGAAAATGACAGCAGGCTTCATCAAGAGAACGAGGGAGACACTGAGTAGGAGACTGCTGTATGTTGACAAAGTTTTGACACGAGGCCTCTGCCACTGGGTTGAGAAGAGATGGGAGGGGCAGGAATGGGGACGGGGAGATGGTGGCCTGGCCCTGAGGTGGCGGGGTCGGGGAGGGGTACTGAAGGTGAGAAGGGTGGGATCATGGGTGCCTTATGAAAGTAGAACTAACAGATGGATTCAGGGCTGGGTGTGAGAACAAGGAGTCACAGATGACTCAAGCGTTTTGGCCTGAGCAGCTAGAAAGATGGAGTTGCCATCAGCTGAGATGGGGAGGACAGTGGGAGAAGTGGGTTTGGAGAGAAGCGCAGGAGGCTGGATTTGGACATTGAATATTAGGTATAGTCCCAGACCCTGGGGTCCCTGCCCTGACTTCCCGACACGGTGCTATCGCCAGCATGAGGGGGACTGAAAGAGGCTGTCTTTTGCTTTCTCTGGAGGCCACATAGCCAGCCCATGTCTCAATACCCTCCCTGTGGTGCCACCTGGGTCCCAGAGCCCCTTATGCCCATTTTGGCAGTGGGAATTTGCCACCACAGCCCTCCTTGCTTATTCAGCATTGAAATTACGTCTGCACTGTTCCTAGCTGCAGCTCTGGGGAGTTCATGACATGCCATTGACCCTAGTCTGTCTTCTGGCATCTTGAACTCTATTGAGTATTTCTTTTTTTTTTTTCTGGGTATGAGTATAGGTTTATTTATTTATTTTTAGAGGATGTGCTGGGGACTGAACCCAGGACCTTGTGCATGCTAAGCATGCGCTCTACCATTTGAGCTATATTCCCCCCACAACAGAGCATGTCTAAGTTGTGAAAGAAACAGCATTTATTGGCAAATGAGCATTTATTGAGTGTTTACTGTGTGCAGAGTCCTGTGTTAGACTAAGTTGGCTGATGAGGGAAGATAGGAGGATGCCATTTAAGAACCAGAGGAGCCCTGCCCCCACAGGGCTCACAGTCCCGCTGGGAGGCACCACATAGATACAGAATCACAGCGTAAAGACACAAAACTATATCACAGTAACAGTGCAGGTACAAAGTTGTCTGGCACAAAGTGGGAGTATGAGGGTGGAGGCAGCTGGGACTCAGTGGTCAGCCACTCCTCCCCTCAGCTCAGAGTCTTCTCCGTCTCCAGCTTGGGGACCTGAAGGGCTGTTCACCTGCCTCCATGCTGCCCTGCCTCAGTCTGGTTTGGGGTGTGTTTGACCTCCACGCTCCTCTAGACCAGGTGCTCTTCAAGGGCAGAAACCAGCCTGTGTTCTTTGTCCTTTTCCCTCTACCTGGCTGTGTCTTCCCCAAGGCCCCGTGTCTACCACAAGGCAGCAGGCTGGGCTGGACAGGTCAGGATGTATGCCCTGGTTTCTGCCAGGGGCTCCCAGGAGGGGCCTAGGACTGGCCTCAGCACAGACCTGGTCTCCTCTGACTTCTGAGTGGAAATATCATGGGCTCTTGCATAAGAAGGCGTGAGTTCAAGTCTTAGCTCCACTATATATATACAGCTGTGTGACTTTAGACCAGTCTCTTAGCCTCAGCCTCAGCCTAAAATGGGACGGACAGTATTCGTTCGGCCTGGGGTCGGGAGATAATCACAGGAGATGATATGGGAGTGCTTTGGAGAAAGTAAAACCCAGCATGGCTGTAGGCCATTGTCCTTCCGTAACCTGCCTGAAGTTTTAGGAGGATTCGATGGGCTAATACGTGTAAAGAACCCAGCACAGAGGCTAGGTCACAAGAAATGCTTAATAGATGTCAGTTCACCCCCATCCTGCTTTGACCTCTGACTTCAGTGGCCCCAGTCTGGGCAATCAGTTCTGGAAGTGGTGGGGAACTCACATGTTTTGTTTGTGGGGAGATGCAATCTAGGAAGATGAACAGACAAAGAGAGGAATTTGGCAACTTCTAGAGGGATCTGTGGGGGAGAGGTGACGTGAAGATGAAGTACCTGAGACACATCTAGGCTTGGCTCCTACCTCAGTGCTTTGCTGGCTTTGAACTTCCAGAACAAAGACACTCAGCTGGCAGGAGTACAGCCCTAGAGGTCACTTTGGTCTCTGACTCGCCCCCTCCCATGGTAGTGAGGCCAGGTGACTGTCGTCAGCTATTGGGGATTGAGAGACTCATCTCCATAGCAACTATGGCCAAAGCAGGCTTTTTCTAACCCAAAGGGAGGTTTGGTCAAGGAAGACAGAAAAGAGCATACAGAGATGTGTTCTTCATATGCAGTCCATCTCTGAAAGGAGAGGAGACCCTTCAGAAGGGGCTGGAAGCTCTGGTGCACAGTGATGCTTGGTGCAGTGTGGGACAGACACAGATAGAAGCCTTGAAAGCATGGAGGCAACAGAGCATGGAGAAGGGGGCTCTGTTGTGTGTGATTCTCAGGTTAGCTATGCAGCAGGCTGGAGAGGGAGGGGAGAATGGACAATCTGGGTGTTGGAAGCAAGGTGAGAACAGCCAGTGTGTGCTTAAGGTTGAGAGAGGTTGAAAGGCTGAATCAGGATGAGGCTAGCCCCAAACCCATCTCCTGCCTGCACCTTGGGGCCCCAGTGTTCTCCTTTGCTTTGGCCACAAACTGAAGGAGGTAAAGGAAGCCAAGGGTCAGGCCCCTTCTGCATTCTTCCCCCAGGAAGCAGAAATAATGAAATGATCCCAATAATGCGTGACAATGGTATGAGGAATTACAGTTCACACAGCATCTTTACATGCATCATCTCACTTAATCCCAGTTAATCTCATTTGAGAAACGGCACTGGCCTGGAAATTTAGAAGCCTAGCTCTAGATACCGACCTGCCTCTCTGGACAAGTCACATCCCTTCTCCAGCCCTGAGAGTGCTAGGCTGCTCTCTCCACAGTAAGGTCCTGTGGTGGGAGTCAGAATGTGAGGGTAGCACTGGAGCTGAGGGGTGGAAGGGAGAGAGGGGCGGAAGAGCTGCTGCCTGCGGAAGAGGGTTGCCCTTGGGGTGGGTGATGGAGGTGTGTTGCCTGGTGCCTGTGGTTTCATGTCTGAGTGTCTTGCCCAGCCAGCCATATGTGCAGGGCGAGAGGGCTCACTTGCGAAACTGAGTGTCTCCTTTCAAGAAGTGTCTAGTTGCAAATCTCCCCCTTTCCCAAGAGAAAGGGCAGGGGCTCACAAAGGGCTCTTGTTTCCTCTGCTGCAGTGGGAGGCTAATCTCTGGGTCTGGAGGCCCCCAAGAGATGGGGTCACATGTATACATGTGCGGCATGCACACACTTATGCCCGTTTTCTCCTTGGGTGAGGTCCTTTCTTAGGGCAGGAGGGAGGTCCTTGGCCACTCAACTTTCATTTTTCCCGGAGGCCACTTCTGAGGTAGCTGTTCTCTGCTTGATACCTTATTGCCTCTAGCAATGTGTCCTGGCAAGTCTTAGGGCCCAGTGCTGCTGCATAGGGGAATTTTCCAGAAGGGGCAGGGTAGGGGTTGGAAATCAGTACCCTCCCTTCAGCTCTCTCATGGTGGGCTCCAGACCCTCCCCTTCCCTTCTCTTGGGGAGCACACTCTTAGAGTTACTGGGGATAACTGGCTTCAAGGACTCATCCACTGCAGAAGAAGTGGATTTATTGCAGGTGGGGGAGGGAGGAGTCAAGAGGGGAGTGAGTGGTAGCCAGCCATTGTACGCTTGTGTCACCACAGGCACACCTGTTCACACTCAGGAGCATGCACAACCTTGCACATGGGGACAGAGAGGCACTGGGGGATGAACTAGCAAACCTGATGCACTGTTCCTAGACCCCTGCCCCGCACCGTGGAGATGTGTGCACTTCCCTCCACCCTACTCAGTACACTGTGCAGGCTCTCCAGAGTCTTCTTCTGCCCTCCCTCCCCAGCTCAGTGCCCAAGTCCCCAGCTCCTTGCAAGGGCCCGGAGGGTCCACTACTCGCTGCCTGCAGCCTCTGAACAGGGGATCTGCCGGGCTCGCCGCTACCCCAAACCCTGGTCGCGGCACTTCCTGGAAGCAGCTACTCTGCACTGAGGGCCAGCTTCGGACATGGGGAGAGGGGGTCCGGCGTGGGTGGCGGGCGGTCACCTGAGCTCCCCCGAGCTCCCTCGAGCCCGGGTGCGGCGCGCTCAGGCCTTGCTACCCCGCGGCGCGCTCTGCGGCGAGTGCAGCTCCACCGACTGCCGCCGCCGCACCTCGCGCTCCTCCCAGTCGGCGTCCGGCTCCAGCCCCTTCAGCACGGCCAGGCGCTCCGACAGGCTCTTGGAGGACGGGAACAGGATGTAGTTGTACAGGAGGGAGGCCAGGATGCCGCCGACCAGGGGTCCGATCCAGAAGACCTGGAGGCGAACGGAAGGGCGGCTTGCGGGAGCTCCTCTCCCCCATAGCATTGAAAAGAGGCCTCACGCAAAGAAGGCAGTCATACGCGTGTCCATGTAATGAGTAATGACAACACCAGCCACTGGGAAGACTTGGTAGTTGGGGGTTAAGGGTGCGAATTCAGAGCAGACTGCCTGAATGGACTTGGACATGTCTCCCTCTCTGTGCCTCAGTTTCCTCACTCTAATAATACTTACCTCCCAGGGTTGCGAACACTAAATGAATCAATATTTGCAAAGCAATTAGAATGAGTCCTGGCACATACTAAATACTAGATAAATGCTAAATAACAGAAATATATTACCTCATATAAATATTACCATTTATCGAGTTCTACGGCACTGCATCAATCTTTGCAAAAAGCCATAGCAATAATTGCTCTTATTCTCACTTACAGATGTGGAAACTGAGTCTTTGGTGTCAGACCTGAAGGGCTGACCCAAGGCTCCCCCATGTCCCAGGAGGAGGACTGGGGAGGGTTTGCTGATCCCACTCCACTCTCCTCCAGCCCTTGCTGAGATGGGTTTCTGGGGGAGGGGAAATCAGGGAGGTTCCAGTCATTACCCAGTGATCATCGAATTTGCCGGTGACGACAGCTGGAGCCAGGGAGCGGGCAGGGTTCATGGAGCAGCCGGTGTAGTGGATCTGCAGTGGGAGGAAGGGTCAGGGAGGGAAGAAGTTGAGGACAGGGCTGGGAGTCTTGTGCCCCTCTCCAGTGCTTGACCTCAGCCTAAAGGGAATCCATGCGATGGACAATTAAATTCATGTTATATTTACAGGGCTCGCTATTCACTTGAAGCTGGAGTGATACCTGTCCCTTCGTGGTATCTAAGAACCAAACTCTCTGGGGTATTATCTGTCCCTCTTGGGAGTTCTGTGTATCTGTCCCTCTTGGGTGTCTTTGTGTCTGTCACTTTTGGAAGTTCTATGTATCTGTCTCTAGAGTGATCTGTGTGTCTCTTTCTTTGGGGAAGGTCTGTGTGTCTGTCCCATCAGGGAGGCTGGAACCAGCGGCCATGACCTACCCCAAGGAGGTGGCCCAGGGCCACAGAGAAACCGATGGAGAGGGCGGGGGTACCCAAGTTGTCTCCACGGCGCTCATCGGTGGAGGCGAAGATACAGAGCACCAGCTGCAGTGTCAGGAAAAGCTCCACAGTGACGGCCTGGCCAGCAGTTGAGTTGTTGCTAAGCTGGGGACAGAGAGGGGGGTGGGGGGTACACTGAGCATGCTCCCTGCACTGGCTCCATCTTCCTGCCCACCTGCAGTCAAGGCTCCAGATAGGCTTCCGGGCTGGGAGCCAGAACACCAGGGCTCACCAGCCACCTTGGTCCAAACTACTGATGTAGTTTGTTCTGTGTTTCCCAAGTCAGAGGTGAGGAAACTGACTCTATAGCCCCTTGGGTTTAGGGCCTGTGGTCGTGTGCCTACAATGTGAGAGGAAAAGGATGCTGAGATCCAGAATTTCTGTTTCCTGAAGAACAAGGATGGAAGAGGTTTTGATTGCAGCAGGAAGCTTTAAGCCAGGTAATAAGAACTTCCTCTCTGTTTAGGCTATGAGATAGACACTGGTGTAATGTGAAGACTGTGGTCTTTCTTCCTGTGGCCAAAGGGCTCCCAGAGACAGGATCTAGGGACTTGGCTCTGGGGATGGTCCTAGTGTACCCCCTCCCCTTGTGAGTCTAGTGTACAACTCTTTCCTCTAACCTTTGCCTGTTCCCTTGAACTTGCCTGTTTCACACTGTGTTTCAGCCCTCAGTTTTGCCCTGTGGGTTTGCTCCCTGCATATTCTGTGGACGTTGGGGTGGGGGTACTGTGATGCTTCCACAAGCATGTGGGGTGCCCATGGTCCCAGCAGACCTTGCTTTGGGTAACGAGAGAACCTGGGGCTGAGCAAAAAGGTGATTTCATAACTGGGCCACACCCAGTACTGGATTTCTCTCTGGGTTTTGTCATCCTGTGCCCTATGCCCTGTCCTCTGGATCTGGGCACTGCACCAGGTGGAGCTGTGACAGCTCTGAGCGCCCACGCTCCTTCTCTAGGCCTTGAACCCGCACCCCTGGGTACTAGCCACCGGGCTGGCACTCTTGCGTCTTTCTAGAGTCTAATCTCCCCACCCCACCCCCAATGCTGCCCCTGTCTTCCAGCGTCTGAGCCTATAGTGGGGACAGTGAAAACAGCTCTGAAGGCAGGCACTCTGGGGCCTCTGACTTGCTGTGGGACCCTATTTATTTCAGTCTCAGTTAGGCTTTCTGTAAAATGGCAGTAACAGAATGATCCTGGAAGACCGTGTGAGGACTGGAAATGACAGGGCAGAGCCCCAGCCCCATTCCCTCTGGCCAACAGCTGATCTAAGGGAGGCAGTGCAGGTGTGGGTTTGGGTTTGATGTCAGAAAGCTCTGGGTCCATTTCCAGGTGCTAACACTGGTTCTGTGATATAAGTCAACTGAGTGCTGAACCTTAATTTACCACTCAGGGTGGAGGATCCCAGAATTCACCTTACAGAGTGATACTAAGACTGAGGTGAAATCTGGCCCAGCACAGAGCAGGTACGCATCGATGGTAACTTCCTGGTGGATAGACTGGCTTTTCCAGTGACCTCAGAGGACACCCGGGGCAGCCATGGGGGTCATCTAGCTCACACTACCCTCAGGACAAGTCAGCCCCATTGCTGCCTGACTCTAGCCAGGAAAGTTCTCCCCGGTTCCTCAAGATGGTAAATGCTGCACAGTAACCTGGGGGGAGCCTCCCCAGACCCTTCCCTTTTGAGGGCCCCAGTCAACTGTGAAACAGTGGAGGAGAAGGACTGCCTGTCCCCATGGCCCCTTAACACTCCCATTGCCCTGCTATTAGAGGAGATTCCCCAGTCACACATTCTGAGACTTTCTTGGCCATGGTCTCAGGAAGTTCTTCTTTCAGTCTGATTGGACCTCATCTTGCTGCAAATTGAACTAATTTCATTCTGAATGGAAATGGTCACACTTCTCAGTCTGTTCAGCCTGAACACCCAGACTCATCATATTTCCCATTTTGAAGAAGAGAGAAATTCCAATGGCCCTGCATGAAGAAAGGCCACCTGTGCAGAGGAGGGGATGACCGCACAAGACTCTTCAGAGACGTAAGCTCTCTTACCCAGCGGCTCCGGGGTGGAGAAGGCCAAGAAATGCAGGAGACCAAGACATGAAAGAGGCATTTGCCGTCCTGGCCTGGGGTGAGTGATGGAGCAAGAGCTGTGCTGAGGGGACACAGACTACCCCTTCCCACCCACGCCCTCAGATGCCCAGGCCTAGCACAGACCCAGCAGTGGGGGGGTGGCTGTGGTGGGGGGAGGGGCTCAGCCCCAGAGTGCTGGAGGTGCCCGATTCATCGTGTAATCAGCAGCCAGCTCACGGGCTCTGGGGGCCTTCTCTGGGACCTTGCCCCTTCAGCTTTCCCCTGGGTTTGGGTGCTTTCTCTGGTGTTGACCGACTCTAGGACTTTTTAGCCTGTCACTTCCCTTCTCTGAGCCTCAGCTCCCTCATGCTTAAGAAATGGAGCTTCTCCTCCCTCCCTCGCAGGGTTGCTGTGAGGTATCAGCAAGTGGCTCCTGGGGAGCCCCTGCCAGGAGGCCTGTACATGGCAGATGCTGAAGAAACGTTGGGTCCTTCTACCCTCGAGAAGACCCTGGGGGCCAGCCCTCTGAGGTGCCTCCTGGCTCAAAAAGCGCGTCTGCTTTGGGGCCCTGTTGTCCTCCCAGTTCTAGCACAGCCCTCACTGGAATGCAGACAGCAAGTCAAGAGAAACCTTAAAACTCTTCTTCCTCCGTGAGGTTCAGGGCAGAGGGAACCAGCAGACCCATGTGTCCCGCCTCTGCTCTGACATTATTGCTCTTTCTACCCTGATTCCTGTGGCAACTGTGTTCCTGGTTCCAGCATTTCTGCCTACCACCCACCCCAACCCCGCTACCCCACTCTCCCTGCTTCTCTCTCTCCCCACCCAGAGCCCCACCCAGACCTGGTACCTCCGCATCGCATCCTTTACAAGGGACTTGCCAGGATCTGCCCTTGTGGAAAGGACGTTCTTACTACTCACAGCATTGATAGCCAGGTCCCCTCGGATGTCTGGCGGTGTGATCTCATGGAGCAGAGCAGCCCCAGCCACGGCCCCCAGCAGCTGGGCAGCCACGTAGAAGACAGCTCGGAGAAAGGAGACATGGCAGCCTACCAGGCAGGCCACAGTCACGGCGGGGTTGATGTGGGCCCCGCTGACATGGCCCAGAGCCTGCACCAGGGTGCCAATAGCCAGGCCGAAGGCCATGGCAATCTGCAGCACAGAGGGCAAGGCCTGTGGCCAGTTGAGGGCTGAGCCGAGGCCAAAGAAGACAAAGAGGAGTGTGGCCAGGAACTCTGCTAACACTGCCCTGGAGAAGGCTATGGACCGGAGTTCCCACATGCTTTGGAGCCTTCTGTGCTGCCCCGGTTGTCTCAGGGCAGGGAGCTTAACTTGCGAGTGAGCTCTCTCTCTCTCTCTCTCTCAGGGTCTCTGGGGAGGCTGGCCATGTGCATTTATAGGGTCCTTCCATCCTGGATTTGGACATGTGAGATGGAGGTGGAGTTTGTGCCAATATCTCTTCTCCCGTATGTCTGCTTCCTGTCCCCACTCCCCCCATCCCTGCCCTCAACATGCCTATCACCCCATCTTGGACTTCACAGCTGACTAATGTTCCCTATTAATGAGCTCCAGATAAGGGCTGACGTCCCCTAGTTTTCCGTGTTTGTTTCCTCAGCTACCCCAAGGCTGTTGCTCCAAGGCCTCTCTACCCCCACCAGTTCTGTGAGTGGGGGTTCTGTAGGGGATGGTGCCAAACCCCTCTCCCTGATTCAAACTGCTGGCCAAGGCAGAGGCAGCACCTTACAAAACTAACCATGAGAGACTGTCAATGCTACCCCTTCTGGGGATTGGGAAGTTCTTCCTGCTGTCTGACCTCTAATTATTCCTTCTTGCAGGGGATGGAAAACAACTGGTTGGCTGTGACATGAACCGTCCAAGGCATAAAGTTTTTCTGTCTCTTCTGTGCTTGCTTTCTTGCGGTCAATCACCCATAAGTCATTAAGCACCTGCTCTCTGGAACCCCAGCCAAATAGCAGCTCCCATTGCCTAGAGGCAGGAGGTGGTTTCAGTGGCATTGGGATTCTGGCCCTGAGTGATGGAGTCAACCTGGGGTTGACTGAGGAAGCTGTGGGCTTCCATTCCATGGTCCATCTCCATGATTTAAAAAAGGGATGATAAACCTACATGGGCTTGGGGTTTAGATTAAATGAACTATTGTATAGAAAGTGCTCAGGGCTGCTCAGCTTAAGCTGTCAATTAATACCACCTCTTATTAATAGCATTATTTTACTCTGAGGAAAATATGACTCCCCAAACTCACATATCAAGAATCTGTGACAGGCTCTAGGCACCCCCTGGAGCTCAGAGTCCCCCAGGCCACAGGGGAGGACATTTCTGTGGGGCAGTGAGCTGTGCAGGCTCAGGGAGTCTGCAGTGTTCCGGCCTCAGTGCCCATGCATATGGCCTGGTATCCTGCCATCAGTGCCGCTCCGGCCTGGGTCCTAGGAGACATTTAGGTCTCGGAGTCCCTTGGCCCCACTCTGTGGCTCTTTAATCCTTCCAGCCCTGCTGCCCGGCCTGGGGACCTGAAGGTAGGGTCAGGCTCAGAGTGTGATTAAGAGGACCAGCTTCTGGATCCTGCTCTACCTCCTGTCCAGCAGTCCCAGGAATGGAAATCTGAGAGCGAAGGGAGACTGCAGAGTGAAGCACCTTGTATTGCTGTGTGCCCTCAGATGGGCTGTGCACCCTTTCTGGTCAGAATGTTCATGGTCTTGAGAAAGACAGTGGCCCACTAACCCATGAGTCTCAGCAGGATCCCCACAACCCAGTCAAGTGAAAATCTCTTACCTCCCGATAAACCCAGAAGAAGTGTCACGACTTCTCTCTGTAGCCCATTAACCCCTAATCCCAATTTGTGTGTGTGTACATGTTGGTCATTCAGTCACACGGTCATAAATTTAGAACACAGTGGGATGTCCGAATTCATCTAGCCTATGAATCTCATTTTACAGATTACAAACTGAAGTCCAGAGAGATTGTGACTTGCCCATGTTCTGGTCTAGATTCAAGTCTGGAAGGAGGGGAGGGTGCCAACCACGAGGGGGCCTCTACTTTGCTATGCTTTCCCCTTGAGCCAGGTGGAAAGTGTTCTTGAGAAGCAGGAGGGTTCTAGCTGTGGTTGCTGGCGGATGTGGAGCTTCCAGAGGAAGGCTGCATTTTGTTTACAGTGACCACTACGCCATATCTTATGAGGAACAAGGTGCCATCAACGGTGTGATGCACTCCTAATTAGAATGTGAACAAAAATGCTTTCTTGGAGATGGTTGGCGGTGATGGTTGCACAACAATGTGAATGTACCTAATACCACTCAGCTGTGCACTTAAAAATGGTTTTAGGTTGGTAAGTTTTATGTGAAAAATAACTAAAGTCAGTGAAGAAAGATGACCCAAAGAATGTGTTCTTCCCATTTTTGTTTTTATATATTGAAAGAAGTCTTATAGATCTATGTGAACATCAGTTTTTAGTCAAAAATCACACTTGTGCCCACACAAAAAAAGGAAATTTTATTTATAACCAAAATAAATTGGCTAAAATGGTTCCAAAAATTTTTCCCATTAGGAGCCCAACTTTCCTAAATCCCTTTTTGACTCAGTTTCACCCTCTGTGCCATCAGAGCTGCAGTGATACGTTGCTTATTACAAGGTTGTTCACTATGTTTCCAGAATTTCTTTCGAGGCCTCTGATACTCCTTCTGAAAGCTTTATCACAGGTGTTTTCTTGCTTCACACGTTGACAGGCAACCATTTTGTCCTTTTCTCAGCAGTAAAACATAACAGTTTCATCTACTTGTGGGACTCTTCCGTTCTTAGGTCCCATAAAACAATTGGCTGTTGTTTTACAAGAAAATACAGACTTGTGGTCATTCTTCAATGACAACTGTTTGCTTCTCTAATGTCAAATTCTTGCCATGCTGCTCTGTTTCCGTGTCCTGCTACACACACAATAACTTTGTTTAACTGCTAAACCATGGTGTAACCTTTCCGGAGAAGTTTTAAATAGCAGTCAAACTGAACAGATGTAGGAATGAGAAGGCGTGAAACTCACCTGACCAAGTTTCAGGATGTGCAGGTAGAGACAGCCACTCTCAGCTGCTGTAAGACAGCACGATTGTTAAGACGTTAGAATGAGGGAGAAACGGTACGCCTTAGAATTGACTCAAGATAGCAGTTATAATATCAAATGTGTATTTAGTGCTCGCTCTCTTCTGCACTGCTCTCCCGACATTTCTGCATGTGTTAACTCCCTTGATCCTCACAGCAATCCTATGAGCTAAAATTATCACCTCAATTTTTAGAGAGGAGGAAAATGAGACAGAGAGGTTAACTGACTTGCCTGAGGTCACACAGCCAGTAAGTGGGGAGGCAGAATTAGAATCCCAGGAGTCTGGCTTCAAGAGGGCTTTTTGTTTGTTTTGATTGTCTCTTTTTATAATAAAATAAAAATTTTATTTATTTAAACTTCTTATTGAAGTATAGTTGATGTACAAAATTATGTAAAGTTATAGGTGTACAACATAGTGATTCACAAATTTTAAAGGTTATACTCTATTTACAGTTATTATAAAATATTGGCTATAGTCCCTGTGTTGTACAACATATTACCGTCATTTATTTTATACATAATAGTCAAGAGGACTTTTGTGATTGTGGAGGTGAATCCTTACCTCATCCCCACCCTGTGAAATAATCAAGATAGGAAAGAAGAGATCAAGAAGGCTAAAGGACTCTGAATCATAAGGAAATAGGGGTTTTGCATGTTGTTTGCTGGTGGCTTGAATGAGGGGGCTGAGACTCTGGAAAAGCAGAGATAGAAGCATGTCTGTGGGGAGCTGGGCCAGTGAGGATGCCCCACATGGAGGCACAGTGACAGAATTCAGGACCAGTACTGTTTGACAGGTGACATGAGATGCGTTTCCTGCCCAGAGTTAAGCTACAAATGTCCTCCATTCTCCCCACAAGGTCGGTAAACGTGGGTCACACACCACAGCCCAGGAGGTTGGAACTTCATGGAGTGCAGGAGAAGAGACAGGGCAGGTCACAGTCGGGTGAAGTGGGATCGAGTGAGAAGTGCAGCCTCAGGCAGCAGCCGGTGGGAGGGGTGGGAGTCTGGTGCTCTGGCCCCTCAGGAAGCCTGAGAAGTCTTGTAGGGTGCTGGATCCCCGTGGTTCTGGGACAAGTGCCCGCCTTTGGATTTCTGTATCAGGTTGCCAGATAAAACACAGGATGCTCAGGCACATTTGAATTTCAGAGAAATAACAAATAAGTTGTGCAGTGTAAGGGTAGTCCAAGCAATGTTTGGGCTATACTTACACTGAAAAATAACTCATTATCTAAAACTGAAATTTAACTGGGTGTCCTGTATTTTTATTTGCTCAATCTGACAACCCTGCTCTATGTGAAAGCAAAGAGGGAACACAGAGGACTGAAGGCCTGGAGACATCTGGGTTTCAAACTAAATTCTCACAAGGACTTTTGGGAATAGTCTTATTAGCCTCATTTAACACAGGAGGAAACTGAGGCACAGAGAGGTTATAAAGTTGTCTAAGATCACAAGCTGGTAAATAGCGGAGACAAGCTATAAAAACAGGTCTGTCTGATTCGGAAATTCAAACTTTTGCCCCCATGCTTGGCTGACTTTGTCCTCAAATGCTCGGCAGTCCTGACCACTGAGGCCCAGGTGGCAGCAGGAAGGTCACAGGTCCAGGGTCCCGGGGAGACACAAAGTCAGTTTCCTGAAGTCTCTCTCCTGCGCATGGGGCTGAAGTTGGGCTCTCACCTGACCTCCTACAGCTCCCACTGCCCACAGGGAAAGGCCAGACCTTGGGCGTGGCTGTTTGCCTCCCAACCCCTTCATTTTGGGGCCCTAATACCTGTTGTCCCCTCTGCCTGGACCATGTGTCACCATCATTTTCTCATGGCTAACTCTTCCTCAAACTCTAGGCCAATGACTTTCAAACCTTTTTAATTTCCTCCTCATGGAAGAAATACATTTAGCAGCCTAACCCAGAAACCTGATCTCAATAGATAGAAAGACATATAACTGAAACTAACATTTCCACAAAGCAATGTTTTCCTAAATGTGATGTTTTAAATTTTTCTATTTTACTAAAAAACTAATTTGGGTCACAACTACTAAATTGGTTTCATGACCCACTAATGAGTTGCCACTCACAGTTTGAAAAGCAGTTTTTGATCCTGTCTTAAAACTCTCTTTCTCATTAGGGAAGGCTTCCTGTCGCCCCAATAACACACACTCCCAGGACCATCCAGCCAATGGAGTGCTTTTCCCTTTTATATCACTCAGAGGCTTATAATTATCTGCTCAATGTTGGGCTCCTCCTCTGGCCTGTGAACTCCCAGAGGGCATGGACCGTATCTGGGTT